AACTGAGGTCTTGCAGTGCAAGGATATCCTTTCTTCATCTGTTCTGTTGATCTGTGCTTCCTCCACCTCTGTCATTACCCCACCAGTGATCAGAGGATGCCACTACTATACTGATCACTGTTCTCCTTGCTGGAGAGGAAGCCGTAACTGAGGTCTTGCAGTACAAGGATATCCTTTCTTCTTCATCTGTTCTGTTAATCTGTGCTTCCGCCACCTCTGTCATTACCCCACCAGTCATCAGATGATGCCACTACTATACTGATCACTGTACTCCTTGCTGGAGAGGAAGCTGTACCTGAGAACTTGCAGGATCTCTCTGCTTCCCTATATCTGCTTCATCTATTCTGTGGATCTGAGCTTGCTTTACCTCTGTCTTTACTCATCAGTTATCAGACAATGCCAATACTGTGTGACTTACTGTTGTCCTTGCTAGAGAGAAAACTGTACCTGAGGACCTACAGTACAAGGATCTCCCTGCTTCTCCTTCATCCATTCTGTTGATCTGTGCTTCCACCACCTCTATATGTAACTCACCAGTCATCAGATGATGTCACTACTGTGCTGATCACTGTGCTCCTTGTTGGAGAGGAAGCTGTACCTGGGAACCTGCAGTGCAAGGATCTCCCTACTTCCCTGTATCTGCTTCATCTATTCTGTTGATCTGTGCTTTCTCTACCTCCCTCATACTCCACCCGTCATCAGATGATGCCATTACTGTGCTGATCACTGTTCTTGCTAGAAAGCAAATTGTACCCTAGAACCTGCAGTGCAAGGATCTTCCTGCTTCATCCATTCTGTGGATCTGTGTTTGTTCTATCTCTATCATTACCCCACCGTAAACAGATGCTACCTATACTTTGCTGATCACTGTTCTCTTTGCTGGAGAGGAAGCTGTACCTGAGGACCTACGGTGCAAGTATCTCTCTGCTTCCCTATATCTACTTAATCTAATCTGTGGGTCTATGTTTGCTTTACCTCTATCATTACCCTTCCAGTAATCAGATGATGTCATCACTGTCCTGCTTATTGTTTGCACTGCTGCCTCTGACTGCTCGTCCCTGGAGATTTGGAGTTCAATTTGGCAATGTCACTACTGTGCTGCTCGCTGTTCTCCTTGCTGGAGGGGAAGCTGTACCTGATGACCCACAGTGCAAGGATCTCCCTGCTTCCTCCATTCTGTGGATCTGTGTTCTACCTCTTATTGTTACCCCACCACTTACCAGATGATGCCATTGCTATGCTGCTGTTCTCCTTGCTGGATACGAAGCTGCACCTGAGGATCTGCAGTGCAAGAAACTCCCTCCTATACCATTTTTGTTTTATCAATTCTATTAATCTATGCTTGCTCTACCTCATCATCCATCATTACCCCACCAGTCATCAGATGATGCCTGTACTGTGCTGTACACTGTACTTGAGGACCTGCTTTGAAACAATCTTCCTGCTTCTGTTCTAATGTTTCTGTGGATCTCTGCTTCTTCCACATGCTACTTCTTGAAGATTCCTCCACTTGTCATAGGATCAGCAGTCATCAGGGGAGGGGAGGCAAAGCCCTTTCTCTACCAAGATGGCTGCCTCCACAGAGAGACACAGTGTGCAGCAAGGTGAGTCAGTAAGGGTCAGCTCCATGGGGACCACATGCAGTGCTGTTGACTAGTCCTTTGCCCTTTGCTTGCACTTTTGTAGGCACAGCCTCCAGAGCAGGGGCAGACTGACAACTCATGGGGCCCCCAGGCAATAGGGGATCATGGGGCCCCTGTGTCCTTGCCCACACTCAAAGCACACCCAAAAAAGCCTATAAAAAGGTGCCAGGGGCATTTCATGGGGCCCCCTATTGATCCAGGACCCTTGGGCAGTGTCTGAGTGCTCAAATGGTCAGTCCGCCCCTGCTCCAGAGCTCAGTTTTTCTTTATACTCACTCCCATCACTCTGTGACGGGAGTGACTTTGGGTGGGGGACTCATGGAACACAGCTCACTTTGGAGAGGCGGAGAGACCCCTGTCTCAGCTCCCCATATCCCTCTTATGTGTAAGTCACCCTGTGCCTGTTAGGGATACAGGGTGAAATGTCCTGATATTGTGTAAACATGTATAGGTGGGGTGTGGGGGTTGTTCATTGTTTACTGCCATGTGGTCCCATTGTTCTATTATGTGTTTGTGTATTGACTTGGTGGGGGGTGTTTCCAGCAGCCCTCCTGATGGGACTGTCTGTTGGGATGTGTCTCTGGTTTCTAAATTTGGTTTTCCCCGCCCTGTGTCCTTATGCAGGGAGGTGGGTTGTTCCCTTGAATGTTTATATCTTGTGTCTGTGTTAAAATAAAGCAGTCCACTTCCTGTTTTAAGACAAGTCTGGTGCTGTTTCATTTTGTATGGTCAGCGGTGGTGTCTGTGGATCTGTGTTCAGACAGGGAAGCGGGAATATAACAGAAATACCCTAGTGCAGTCCGGGTCCGGTGCCGTTACTCACTTTGTAAAAAAAAAAAAAAAGCCACTCACCTGTCCCACAATCCCGCGTTGCCCCCGCCGCAGCCTGTTTCAGCAGCCGTCCTGTATTCCAGGTTGCAGCATCTTCAGCGTGTCCACCCAGCTGTGACAGCTTGTGGCTTCAGAGCCGGGTACCCACTACAAAATGATTGTAAAGGTAAAAAAAAATATCCATGTTATACTTATCTGCTCTGTGTAATAGTTTTGCACAGAGCAGCCCCAATCTCTCGGGTTTCCTCCCCTCTGCTTAGTGCCCCCATAGTAAGCAGCTCGCTATTGGGGCACTTGTGCATGCTTGCTCCAGAGCTAGCTGTGTGTGTCCATATAACACACAGGGCATGGCTCAGCCCTACCCTGTTCCCTCCTTACTGGCTGTGATTGACTGCAGTTGAAGCTAATAGCTCTTGCTGCTGTCCCTGAGCCAATGAGGAGAGAGAGCTTCTGCTGTTGTGCACATCGCTGGATTGCGATGGGGCTCACTTAAGTACCTCTACCACTTAAGTACCTCTACCCCCAATCCCAGTTCCTTAAGTAAACAAACACGAGAGAGAGGGAAGTGCCTACTAATGCAGGCCATAGATGGGTTGAAAACTGGCCGTTTAAAAAAAAAAAAAAAAAAAAATTGGTCGTTCAATAGGCCGATGTTACCACCAATGGTAAAACAAATTGGACGGTTTTCATCCCGTCTACAGCTGGCATTTAATTACTTCTGTCCCTTGCAGAGAGCTCCGCTATTATATTTGACATTAAAAAGTAGAGCGGTTGCAACATTGTATCCATTTGTATCCATTTCGGATACAGATGTTTTTATTCGAATACAAATAGATACATTGTTGCAACCACAATACTTTTTCATGTCAAATATTATGGACTGGAATTCTTCTTTTTCTTCTTCTTTTTCTACTTCTTTTTTCTTGCAGGTCACAGCTTATGTGCAGAATTTTTATCGGTAAAAAGATTGGCTGATTTGCCCATCATTGCCACGAAAATCAGCCTGTCGGGAAAATCGGCCGATTTTTTTCCAACTTTACTGATTAAAAAAAGTGCCAAAATCCAGAAAAACGGCTGACCAATTAACCCATTAACGGTGCAAAAATCGGCCGATTTTTTTTTTTTTTTTTTTTTTTTTTTTTTTTTCCTCGACTGAGAAATCGGCCAATTTTCAACTCATCTATGGCCTGCGTAAGTGTAGCATAAGAATTGTTTGTTTAAAAACACAAAATTGCCAACTCACAGGCTTATCAATATAGAGTGCTGTTCAGGGTGTGAAGTCTCCATCCCTCTGTGTGCTGGCTGGCTCTATATATTTTGATAGATGGTAGAAAGATGATGGCGCCTCGAACATCCGACTTCCAGGAACCATGTTGGAACACACACTTGTAGAGGTGACATCACGTTACGGGATAAAATTGGCTACGCGTTTCGGAGCATCCACAAATCTCTTCTCTGATTCTAGTTACATATTTCTGTATAAAAACTTTAGACTCAATTCACTAAGCTATGACACATGTTACTTGCCAAAATGATTTTCCCCCCATGTGACGGGTAGTCTCGGCTCTCTTTGTTAATATTGAATTAGCTGTATATCCATTTCTATCCTCAGCCATTCATTTGTGTCAGGTTTGCAGTTTCCGTTGTTCCGTCTCCCACTTCTTAAAGGATTAAATGATTACCCTCTCCGGCCTATTATCTCCGGCGTATAATCAACTTTAAGATGCTTCCAGATACTTATCTTCTAAAGTGGTTTGAAATGATTTGATCCTTAACGCCGTATTATATTATTGCGTTCGCCACTTGTTCTGCTGTCCAATTTTTACGCTGATGAGTGATACCTGAGCGTGTCATTGGTTGTTCTCTGTGCTGGATCGCCGTTGCTCTTTTTCTTCCATACCATCTGGTGAAATGGTTTTTAATAGACTACGTCCATAATTTATTGATATAGATTTATCAATTTTTATCTTCATTAATTGTTGAGTTTAGGATTGTCTGTAATGAATATAAGTTCTTAGGTTGTCTACCCCTCTTTGGTCTTCCTTTATTTGCCCATTCAGAGGAAGCAGTAGTCTAGGGCAGCCTTTCCCAACATTTCTAACATGGAGGAACCCTTAAAATAACTTTTCAGGCTCAGGGAACTCTGAGCCCTGCTGTTGATGCCTCATACTTTACTTTCCATTCATCATACATCAGCATCAGAGGTTGGTCATCAGCTCTGAGGAAAGGGATTCGTCCCCGAAACGCATCAGCCATTTGACCGCACTGACAGTGAGAACACCTTGCCCGCCGTTGTAGCCATTGTCATTTTTCTATGCTTTTTAGATACATGCTTCATCTGTGAGTATGTTTTTATGATTTAATTCCTACAATAAACCTTGGATAATGCACTAGGTGTGTGCGCCACCTGTTTTCTCTCTATCCAATGATTACTTGGAAGAATGCTCCTTACATTAGTAGTCGGCGAGAAGAATTTTCCTTACACTGGTGATCAGTGGGAAGAATGTTTCTTACATTGGTGGTCAGTGGGAAGAATTTTCCTTACATTGGTGGTCAGTGGGAAGAATGCTCCTTAAATTGGTGGTCAGTGGGAAGAATGTTCCTTACATTTGTGGTCAGTGGGAAGAATACACCTTACATTGGTGGCCACTGGGAAGAATGTCCCTTACATTGGTGGTCAGAGGGAAGAATGTTCCTCACATTGGCGGTCAGTGGGAAGAATGCTCCTTCTATTGGTGGTCAGTGGGAAGAATGCTCCTTCTATTGGTGGTCAGTGGGAAGAATGCTCCTTATATTGGTGGTCAGTGGGAAGAATACATATTACATTGGGGGTCAGTGGGAAGAATGCTCCTTACATTGGTGGTCAGTGGGAAGAATACATCTTACATTGGGGGTCAGTGGGAAGAATGTTCCTTACATTGGTGGTCAGTGAGAAGAATGCTCCTTACATTGGTGGTCAGTGAGAAGAATGCTCCTTACATTGGTGGTCAGTGAGAAGAATGCTCCTTACATTGGTGGTCAGTGAGAATGCTCCTTACATTGGTGGTCAGTGAGAAGAATGCTCCTTACATTGGTGGTCAGTGAGAAGAATGCTCCTTACATTGGTGGTCAGTGAGAAGAATGCCCCTTACAATAATGGCCAGTGTAAAGAATATTTCTTACATTGGTGATCCGTGGGAAGAATTCCCTTTACATTGGTGGTCACTGGAAAGAATGCTTCTTACATTGGTGGTCAGTGGGAAGAATGTTCCTTACATTTGTGGTCACTAGGAATAATGCCCCTTACATTGGGGGTCAGTGGTAAGAATGCTCCTTACATTGGGGGTCAGTGGTAAGAATGCTCCTTACATTGGGGGTCAGTAGAAAGAATATTCCTTAAATTAGGGGTCAGTGGGAAGAATGCTCCTTACATTGGCGGTCAGTGGGAAGAATGTCCATTCCATTGGTGGTCAGTGGGAAGTATGTTTTCTACATTGGTGGCCAGTGGGAAGAATGTCCCTTACATTTGGGGTCATTAGGAATAACCCCCTCTTACAAATAGCTAAAAAGATCATTGTTGTCATTGATTACTTATCTGGGAGGCAGGAATTGCCCATTGCTCAAGGAACCCCTAGCAACCTATGAAGGAACCCTAGGATTCCACAGAGTCCTGGTTGAGAAATGCAGATCTAGGGGAAATATAGAGATACTACTTTTTTGATAGTATTACTCGCAGTGCACTATGTTTCTAGACGTATCTCTGTAATTATCTTCACATGGGAGATTTGTAAATGTTAAACGTCTCCCCTTTTACTGCCCCTTCACATCTCAACCATTAAGCCCAGTGTGGGCAAAACGGAAGAGGAAGAGAAGGACAATGACCCAGGGGGGTTTCTTGAAGTTTGTCCTGAACAATATAGTTTTCCCAGTTTTGGAAGTTACGGTGTGTTGCTGGCTGTTTTTCTCCAGATGTATTGACAGTTCAAGGACAGGACATTCCCCCTACTTGTGGTCAGTGGGAAGAATGTTCCTTACATTGGTTGGTCATTCAAAGGAGTTATTCATTTATTAAGAACTTGAGAGCATTGAAAAATCTTTACTAACTACCGGTTCACAATAGTACAGATAGGAAGGTAGACAGGGTATGAAGCACACCATATTTCATTTATTTAAGCAGAATTCCAGCCAAAAAAAGCTGTCCCCTTCAGCACTTCCATCACTAGCATGAATCTTGTTTTGCATGGTGAGACCAAAACGTAGCCAACAGTCTCAATTGTGGCCGCGGAGATAGTAGGGTATTAAATGGTAGTAGGGGGACGAGGTGCATGTAAGGACCAGAGGAAAAACCCAAAGAGATTCCAAAGTCTTCCATGCTGTATGACAGCCAGCATCCTTTAACCCACTCTTTGAGCCCAGGCTGTCGAGAACCTTCCCCTTGACAGATTATCATCACAAAACCAGTGCCTAGAGTATTACAGCAATCAGCAACATTTAGTGCAGAAATAAGGACCGCTCCCACTGCCGTCGATGAGGAAATACTTCAAATGTCAGTGGACCGATCATAAGACCCTCACATTTTTTTTTGTTTTTTTGTTTTTTAATCTGAGAAGGGAGGTGGCTAAGATATCTGAAAACTAGACTTCCAATTCCATGTGTTAATACTAAGGGAGACATAAGCAATGACTCCCCATTAGGTCGAAAGAGCAGGGCCCTCGAACCCCTCGTGTATTGTTTTGTTACTGTATTGTCTCATGTTCTGTCCCCCACTTTAATGTACAGTGCTGAGCAAACCTTTCTGGCGCTATATAAATATTGTATAATAATAATAATATATTAATTAGGTAATCATTGGATAAAATTGCATTGGAAAACATTCACAAATTCCTTCCCAAATCCATATACAGTTCTGTATTGGACCAGTGTCATTATATGTATTCCATATCTGTGGAAGCAGAGAATCACTGTAGTAGTTGGCTCAACTACAGTGATCACCATGGTCTTCTGGGTCAAGTGACTGCCCTTCTGCATACTAAACACACAAGGTCGCTCAATTGGCATGGCTGCCATTCACAGAACACCTTGTATTTTTGTTAGTGAATACATGTTGTCCTCTGATTGGAGGAGGTGGAGAGTGTGACATCACTGCCCTTCCTTTTCACCTTTAAAATAAAATAGCCTTCTGTGAATGGCGCCTTGCCATATCTTTTATTAAAACCCCATGTCAAAGGTCAAAAGCTCAATAGATATAGGCAGCTGCAATGATATGCAAATGTTGACTTTTCCTGTTAACATTAAGCTTGGCCCCACCCCTTCCCATCTCCTGAGCTTTCTTATTGGTCACGTAATGCGATGGCCAGCTCTACCCACCAGAGAGGTATGGGAGGGGCCAAGCTCGAGTTTTCATCCCCCCAAAAAGTGAGATTTGCTCTTCAGATCTCAATATATTTAGGGAGTCACTTTGGGTGGGGGGCATATGGAACGCAGCTCACTTTGGAGAGGTGGGGAGACATCTTATGTGTAAGTCACCCTGTGCCTGTTTGGGGTACAGGGTGATCTGTCCTAATATTGGGGGGGGGGGGGTTGTTGATTGATGTTATGTGGTTGTGTCCCATGGTTCTATTGTGTATCTTGCTTGGGAGCAAACTATTGTGGGATGTATGTGTTTTTGTATATTGGCTTGGTGGGGGGTGTCTCCAGTAGCCCTCCCTCTTGATGGGACTGTCTGCTGGTGTGTCTCTTGTTACTAAAGGTAGATTGCCTCGCCCTGTGTCATTATGCAGGGAGGGATTGTTCTTTTGAATGTATATATCTTGTATCTGTGTTAAAATAAAGTAGTCTATTTCCTGGTTTACTTCAAGATTGGTGTTGTCTAGTCTTGTATGGTCTGCTGTGGTTGGTGTTCGGATGGGGAAGTGGCATTATAACGGAAGTACCCAAGCGCAGACTGGGTCGGTTCCGTTACACTTTAGATCTGTTGATCATTGTAATATTATGCATTTATTATTATGTTTTATTTTCCATCATATGTTGATTTTGAATTGCTCAGGTGTGTGTGCTGCTTTGCTTAGAAGCCAGGGGCGAACTGACCATTTGGAAACTTGGGCACTGCCTGAGGGCCCGGGGTCAGTAGGGGGCCCCATGAGATGCCCCTGGTACCTTTTTCATAGGCTTTTTTGAGTTTGGGTAAGGACACAGGGGCCCCATGATCCCCTATTGCCCAGGGGCCCCATGAGTTGTCAGTCCGCCCCTGGTAGAAGCTTTAGTCTAGACATGGATGGGCTTATGCTTTATCTACAAATCGTGATATGGATGTGGGCTGTCCTTGGACGATTCTCCGGACCTGCTGTAATCCTCTCTTTGACGCGTCCGAAGTATAAATGCAGCACGCAGTAACAATCTCATTCCCTCTTCGGCTGGCGCCCGCTTGTATGAAGGTTTTCGAGAATTTTTTTATTCTTAATCTGCATATTCCATCTGCATGTCAGGAGAACGAACAGTCTTCACAGACCAACGACCACATGTCCTGCTCATTTTTATTTGTAATGTTTGTAAATGCGTTTGCCAAAATAAATCCACGGTGAAAAGTATACAATTTAGTGAGGTCGTTAAATCGAACAAATTACGCCGCACACTCTACTGATCTATTTTATTTCATTCGTAAATCGATTTGAGAAAAAAAAAAAAACACGTTTACGTTTCGGTTTTCTTCCTGGGGAACAGATTAGTTTTTAATCCTTTCCAACCGATTTAAAAGAAAAAAAGAATCATTACACCGATCGGGATTTTGTAATTTAATTTGCATGACCATCAGGCTTACTGTTTGCTCTCATTATAAGCCCGTTCCAGTAATTGTGGAACATCCCACACAGATTATAAACTTTCCGAGAAAGTCGTTGTGGAGTCGCCTTTCAATGACAAAGTTAAGTCAAGCACACATACTGTAGTAGTTACAATATAAAACATTGAAAATGCTTGGTTTGTATATGGAATATGTGTTGTGATATTCCAGCGGGTTACGCTCAAGTGTATTTCTTCCCAGTGAGTTCAGTCAGAGAATACTGTTTTAGGGTGTGTTGGCCCACTTTTATTTAAAAAGAAAGTGAAAGTTCCAAGAAAACGGTTGCCCACACAGGGGTTTCCACTATCATTTTAAAAATAAGGAAAAATAACATAAAGCCTCCTGGCTTCTTCTCACACCACTGCTGTCAGGACCTGGATGACCTGTTGGTGACACTGTGCTTCCCAGAGTGGAAGGTTGTAGTTCCGGTGTTCACCAGTGGGTGTCTCCCAGCAGATCCAAGTAATCCGTTTCCATTTGATGATGGATGCTGGGAGGGTATTTAGGTTCTTTCCTACTTGTGCCTCTTGCTTCAATGTTTTGCCACTGCCATTTTCTGCTTGTCTTTGTCCCTGATCTTGCTCTTTCCCTGTACCCAGTACAGGGCAGCAGGGTACAGGGAAAGATCAAGGTCAAGGTCAAAGACAAGCAGAAACTGGGATCAGGAATAAAGAAGAGCCGTTCTTTCTTCCTGATTCCAGTTTTAGTTCCTGTTTCCCATCTGCTCCCTGCACCTTCTGCTTTCCCTGCTTTTTTGTGTTCCCCATTTTGAATATATTGTATATAGTTAGCTATTATCTAAGCCAGTGGTTCTCAACCTTTCTAATGCCGCGACCCCTTAATACAGTTCCTCATGTTGTGGTGACCCCCAACCATAAAATTATTTTCGTTGCTACTTCATAACTGTAATTTTGCAGTGGGAGTAGTGCCACATCATTGGTGTCAGTGGAAGGAGTAGTGCCCCATCACTGATGTCAGTGGGATGAATAGTGCCCCATCATTGGTATCAGTGGGAGGAATAGTGCCCCATCGTTGGTGTCAGTGGGAGGAATAGTGCCCCATCGTTGGTGTCAGTGGGAGGAATAGTGCCCCATCGTTGGTGTCAGTGGGAGGAATAGTGCCCCATCGTTGGTGTCAGTGGGGGGAATAGTGCCCCATCCTTGGTGTCAGTGGGGGGAATAGTGCCCCATCATTGGTGTCAGTGAGAGGAATAGTGTCCCATCATTGGTGTCAGTGGGAGGAATAGTGTCCCATCATTGGTGTCAGTGGGAGGAATAGTGTCCCATCATTGGTGTCAGTGG